TTGTTCAGGATCACCCGTATCCCTCCTATTTAGGAGGGAACGGGTTATCCTGAACAAGGCGGCTGGGCGCGACTCAGCGGAAGCAATCAGAGAGGCAATGTGTGTTCTTTTTGACGTCCTAATTGCCCGGATGTAAGCTCTGATGCAGGATGTTAAAAGTGCTTGGTTCGATTCGGATTTACTGGATCTCCATCGGTGCTCTAGGCGTCTCTTTCGAGAAATTGAGGTTCTGAAATGGCCAAATCAAAGTCCATCAAGATGCTGTAGAGTGATCTGGAAAAGGCTAGGTATTCAAAACCTAACCAAAAAAAGGAAAAAAGCCCACAAACATTGCACAGCTGGGGAAAATATGCATGGAACAGGAAAAAAAATCTGCCTAGTTGATGTCAAAAACTGATAGCTATAAGAAATGTTTGCTTGAGATTGTTTTTGCTAAAGGAGGCAATACCAGATACTAAATTTAGTTTTTCTCACACAAGGAAACATCATATTTGTTAATGTTTTAAAAAATATATTAAAAAATCAAGTTTTCATAGTTTTTTACAAGATCACCTTAATATACCATTGAATGAGGATAGAAATATTGATATGCTCACATACGTTGTTAAAAAAGAAAAAAATATTTTTTCTCATAACTGTAGATTCTTCAATTACGCATAGTCTCTAATACTTATGTATGAGATTTACTGCTTAATAGGAAGTATATGACTCAAAAACTTTAAAGTTGCAAGATTGACTTTAACAGAGCATTCAAATGCAGGAATTCTGGTAGGCAAAACATGAACATGGGATTAAAGAATTTAGGAATGTTTTAGTTTCAGTGGTAAAGGGAGTTTAGTTCTTCCAGCCATAAATACTTCCCGCCTGAAGTTTTCTTAAGTGACTACTATCATTTTAGTGAGGGATGAGTATGGAATGAATCACTCTGTTGCTACCTTGAGAATCAGAAATCTTGTTGATATATGTTAATTCCTCTAAAGACCTGCCACTAGATCTAGTGACTAGATCTAGTTATTTTGACTGTGCATATCTGTATGTGTGAAACCTAAAGGTTGTATATTTGTATGAAAAATCATGTTTCCTTGGATATACACTGGGGATATGGGCAAACAACAAAACGTGTCATATCACAACCCCATTACCACATTTAGGTTCTTGTTTGTGATGCGATGATATAGTAGAAAAGTGAAGCTTATGTTTTCATCATTGCAATTAGGAATGTATGCATATTCTTAACACTTTCGATTATCAAACTTTTGTGACTGCAGGATAAAAAAATGCTTAAATGCATTGTGAGTAGGTCAAGTTCCCATGCCTAATTTAATTTTACAATAATGTCGTATAGTTCTCTTCAAAAGTATTTATCAATATCAAATATGTCATTGAAAATATAGTTGGATAGTCTTAAATCCTACTATTACATTCTAGACCACAGGTGAGAGTTTTGCATATGCTTCATTGGTTTGAAATGCAATAGAAGGTTTCAGTATTTCCTTATTTACTGTACTTTTACATGGTTCCCAGTTCAAGAGGAAGTAATACTTATTTACTGTAATAATAAAGCCCTCATGATACTTGACTCATACTTTCACCTTTCCACAAAGGCTATGTGACAATAACAAAGATGGTCAACTTCGGATTGCAGTTTAGAATATTAACTTAAGTTTTTTTACATGTTATAAAAATACTGAATATTAAATTTATAATGAGGGAAGACTCTAATTCAGAGCTCTTCTTGAATCAAAATTCTGAACTTTCAAGACACTGTATATGGGAATAAAATGAACTAAGTAAGTACTTAATTCAAAGCAGGAAATGATATTGGGTCAAATGTGAATGTGTTACAATAGCATTTTGCAGCTGTCTTATTTCTTAGCTGTTAATTTCATTTGATTTACAAAAAAATGGCTTTATTCTTTATCATTTCTGCACAGATATCCTGAAATGTAATTTGCTATACAAAGCAAAAAGAAAGAATAAAGAATTGGATTAGTTTTAACTAGGGGTGGATTCTGGCAGCTGCTACTGATGGTTTGCTCTTGGCCATGCAGCATGTGCACTTGATGTTCTACGCGCATGCGCAGAACTATAAAAATGCTTCTGTGCAGAAGCAAAAAACAAGATGGCAGGGCCGGGAGAAGCAGTTCGGACACCTGGCAGGCCTGGGTCGCTGTGGGTTTCAGCGATCCAGGCCGCCAAACCATTACCAGTTCGGCTGAACCAGTCTGAACCAGTAGGAACCCACCACTGATGGATAGATGGCAAAAGGCACTTTACATTTGTAATTTACTATATATTTTATACATACAGTCGAAAAATTTGATTATTTTTAAAATAATGTATTGCTAGTAATGGAATATGAGACTGTGTGTAACTCCACGAGAAGAGCTGTTTTCTCCACTCCCACGAACTGGATCACGTTAGATTATGTATAGAAGGCAACACATTTGGATATGTTTCTTAATCTATTAAAAATACACGCTGAGATAGTCTTTTCTTCTTTTTGTTAAGGTTGTCTTTCTTAATACGCAGAAATTCCACCTCTAATGTATAGTTTTATATCATCCCTGAAGTGTGTATTAGTCTAGAGCCACATGAAATATGGCAATGTAATGACGCAGCTTACTGTAACAGCTAACAATCTACTATGGTCGGTGGAAATTAAGCAACTAGGAAAAAGTTAACTTCTCTCCTTATACTAAGGCACACAGAGAAGAGGAACCTATGAATCACGCAACTTGGTTTCAGCAAACTGTAGCTGCATGGTTAGTTAATTTTACATTTTTTTAAAAAAAATGTAATAGTTTGTAACATAGCATGGAAAGAATGGTAAGCCTGGCCTCTGCAATATCTTAGGTCAGTGATGGCTAACTTTTTTATTCTTGCATGTTGAAAGAGCCTGTGCACATGCACCCATAATACAAAGTGCGCATGACTCCCTGCTCCCCGCACATCTCCTACATGCGCCCCCACCCTGCATATGTGTGGCAGAGACCAGAAAACCAGCAGGCTGGCAGGAGGCATGCGCACACATGCGCAGTGGAGGTGAGCTGGGGCAACAGCTTGCATGCCTGCAGAGTGGACTTTGGGTGCCACCTGTGGCATGTGTGCCATAGGTTCACTATCATGGCCTTAAATGAACGTATAAAACTGACCCAAAACAGATAAAATGAAGTGTCTAAAAGCAATATTCCAGGATAAGGTAGAATGAGATGGGAAGGAGCTGAATTTGTAGGCAGTGCTTTAAAATGTTTAACCTCACATCATCTCAGATTGTACCCATAGTTCTATTTTGATGCTTTATTAAAGACTAGCTGATAACCTGGAGTTGCCTGGGTATTTATTTATCCCAATCCTGTATTAGACAAGAAAAGGAATGAATTATATGCAGTGTCAAATCAAAGGAATTTCATTTACAGGCGTTTAGAATAATCAAAGCCTTATTGAAAATGTCCGGACTTTAATTTCTAATATTGAATTTTCCCCCTTACCAAAGGGAGCCTCTTTGTGGAGTACTGTGAAGCTGTTACCATGGCAACTCCACTGCAGTAAAAGCCATTTGAAAGCACAGCAGGCTGTATCTACCCCAATGGATGTTAGGGGTGTCTGATTCTCACTGTATTTGTTTCCAGAGAGTAAGTCATCTGTGTACCAAGTGTAGTTGAAATTGCTCAAGGCATTCCAGAGTTATGCTGGAACACACACGAGAGAGGGGGGGAGGGGGGGGAGAGAGAGAAACTTCCTTGAGGTGGGCAAGCCTATAACAAAGGGGTTGTTATTGAATCTAATGTTGCTTCTCTCAATAAGATGTTTCTCTCAAAAGAAAGCAATTCCTTAATTGAACAAGTAGTTCTTGGGTTACAGCCCTAATTGGGGCCACAATCTCCGTTGTTATGCATAATAGTTGTTATGCAAAACATGATGTGACTGAGCCGCTTGGCAACGGCACCTTCTCCCAGACAGACTTGAGTCGCAAGGTGCCTTTGCAAGCAGAAACTCCCTAAGAGCGCACGACATGTATCGAGCCTAAAACCGGAAGCGGCAAGTTGCAGAAGTGGAGCTACCGCCAGGGTGATTTCCCCCAAAGTCTCTGCACGTGGTCGGACCGCTGCCCCGGACGCGAATCTGCTGCACAGTTCTACATAATTTAGACTACACTTTTCTGTTTATACCCATCACACCAAATCGTTAACAAAAAGAATGAAAACGCATATGCCTCAAATAAATATTTTAATGCATCCATGCAAATCAGCGCTAATAAAGGGACTATGTACCCCACATGTCTATAGAGCTTCTCAGTCATCCAGGTCATGGTTGTCCCAAAGGTGCTTTTTCAAGAGGCAACTGGACTTTCTTGTTTTCTTTGAAGACGTTTCGCTTCTCAGCCAAGAAGCTTCTTCAACTCTGACTTTAATCCTTCCATTTCCCACCATTCAGTCACAACTGAATGGTGAAAAAGCACCTTTGAGGTATGTACTACAATGCACAACGTTACATTTCAAGGCAGGGAATCGGTGGCTTTCTTAATGTTGGATTCCACTTCCCATCAGTCTGAGCACGCCAAGTCAGGAATCATGGAATGGTAGTCCAAATGGGTTTGCAAGACCCAGAGGCACCTCACATTTCGTCCCTGGAGTTACAGCGCTGCAGGAAAAGGCAAGGCAGCTTCCACAAGTTCCACATGAGCACTCGACCGTCTCCCGTTGCTTCTCCCGGTGCTTCACTCCCGGGCTGTGAACTTCTGACCCTGCGGAATAGGAAGCAAAAGCCTGAGCTTTTGCGCCGCCTCCGCAGTTCCGCCTCCACCCTCGTTCGGGAAGCTGACGGGTGTCGCCGACAGGCTTCTACGGGAGCTGGAGCTGTCGCGGCTTGACGGTATTGGGGTGCAAAGAATGGCGCACGAGCCGGGAGAATCGCTGCTTACCCCTTCAGGAGGCGCGTGAGCAGAGGAAGCGCAGACGGCATGTTATCCCTCGGCGAATGGCTACTGTTCCTCTTCCTGTGGAGGCCGCTGCTTTCCGCAGTTGGCGAAGGTAGTTGTCAGGGGCTGGGAGGTACTTTCCAAGGCGTGTAAAAATAGCGTTGGCGGGTGGCTGGAGCGGTCCTGGGAGACGGAATCTGGAGGTTCTTGTGCCTTTTAATTAGATAGATAGTGTGTGTTTTTTTTTAATCCCCCAAAAGGAATGGGCTGGATTTTTCAGCATCTCAATAAGGTTGCTATCTCTTTCCAACAGTCTCTTATGAGTTCATGTCTAATCTTAGGCGATAAGACAAACAAACAAATAAATGATAGATTATAAAATCAAAGGTCGGTGCAGAGACTTTACAACTGTAGGGTAGAGGAAGGCTTGTCTTAAAGGCAACTGTCGGCTGCTTGGATTGAAAAATGGCGAATTTATGGGGAGAAGAGGATACTTTTGATAAGGTTTGAGAAGTTTGGGCTGCTTCTTTGAAAAAGTGATACTGCTCTATAAAGTTCTGAATCTACCTATTTTTTAAATTGGGTAGTGATCTAGAGCTGCATCATAAGCCTACTTAGTCATGAATATTGTTATTTAAGCACATTTATGGGACAATGGGATGAGAACTAAATTGACCTGTAGGATTGCTATGAATGCTAGCAGTACAGATATTTGCCCCTTTAAGTGGTTATATAGACACTTTCAAAATAAATGAGTGATTTCAGTAAGACTACAAAAGCTGATGAATGGATTACAGTGAGTAGGTAGATAAAAAATGAGGTGTCGGATATAGAGCTGATTGTAACATGTACCATACGTCTATGAATTATAATTACTTGTCTTGATGCATCATGTTTTAGGGAATGTAGTTGTCAAAATAATCTGCATCGATATTTTGGGAAGAGCTTCCCTCCCTCAGTCTATGCTGTTAGGCTAAATTTCCCAAAATGAAAAACAAACTAAATAAATAAATAAAATCTACTCAAAAAGCAATTAAAAATCATGCAAGCAGTAAAAATCACCACGAGCATTAACTAACATGCACAACCTATGTAAATAAAGATGTTTAATATTTTTCAATCTGTGTACCTCAGAACCCTAAAGTTTCATGAGCATTTTGTGAAGGTCTGTGTTAAGAAAGGAGAAGCTTAACTTGAATGCTGCCAATTTATGGTTACTGGAACTTTACCTATTTTTCACTGCTTCCAAATACTTTTTTTCAACCTTGAGTTTTAAAATACTATATTAGTTCTCACAGCAAGATATTTCTAGTATTACTTTGTAATATTTTACAAAGTATTTGTACACTGTTAACTTCCCATGGCAACAGGTATTTATTTCTAACCATGCCATTCTGACAGTTGGATAATTTCCTTGGATAATTTCCTTGGATACCATCCTTCTTTTGGATCTATTTTTCTATCTATACCTCCCAATGCCCTCTCTCTTTTCAGTCTCTCTATCTCTAGAATTCAAGTTGGAAAAGGTATCTGAAGCTACCATTGTGACAGATCTAACGCTAATTGGGATTAAATTAAATGCACTGATTTTAACCTTGGCACCCATGGTAGCTTTCTCCTGTCCCTCCCCCATGCATGCACCAGTGGGACTTGAGTTGCCACTTCATAAGAGATTGAGGGAGTAGTGGATACTTTAACCTTGAAGTAAGGAGAGTCTCCACCTTGCTTGTGTTTTGCAAAATAGTAGAAATTACCCTGATAGGCTTTAAATAGGTTCACATTTGTAATTATTGGGAATATTAAGTTTTATGTAAATTGCTTTGAATCACCAGAAATAGGTTGGTATAAAAATATGGCACACTGATAATAAGATTAATTATTCTCTCCAGCATTCAGTATTATAACTGCATCAGTAATGGCCAACTCACCTCACCATTGAAGTGTTTTGGAGTATGGTGAATTGTGGATATTATATTTTTATTCCTTTTAGCATCTCTTGTTTCTTTGCTTTTTTAGGATTTTCTCTCTCCCTACCAGCACCCCAGAATTTGACAATTAAATCATATAATTTTCAGAATGTATTGAGCTGGTCTCCAGTTAAGGGAATCAATGGCCCAGTGTTTTACAGGGTTCAGCGTTGCTTGTAAGTAAACAGTTGTCAAATATCAAATATAAATTACTATTCTTTATCATATGCTGTCATTCAGATTACACCACTAAGGAATTCTACTGTCTTTGTATTATATTGCAGACCTTCTGACCGAACATGGGAAAAAGTGAACTGCAGAGATATCACAAAACCTGAATGTGATTTTGAGTCTATCAAGAATTCTCTTAGAATTATTTTGCGGGTTAGAGCTGAAGAAGGCAACTTAAAATCTGAATGGAGTGAAACAGATTCCTTTGTTGCTCAAAAAGATAGTATGTTTTATTTATACCTTGTCATTTATTGATGAATTAAGCCTCTGATTAAATGTTTCTCTTAGTCATTTCATATGTGAAAGCAAAAACTGTGGGCAATAGAACAAAGATTGGGCCTATACAATAATACCAAATCTTGATTTTATCTCAGAGACTGAATAATTTATCAGGGCATCACTAAGATCCAGAGGCATTTTATGAAATTGACTCTTTCATAAAAACTTGTCAATAAGCTTTTTTAAAAAAGGAATGAGGCTTATTTATCATAACAATATACAGCTATTCATAAAAGTATGCTAGAAGCAGAATTGTACATTTCATTTCATAGAGACATATTGCTCACAATTATCTATATTCTACATCTCTTACCCATGCTGCTTCAGACAGGTTCACTGACGTACCTTTTTCAGCCCCCCAAAAATATTCATGTGTTTCATTGGTACATTATCCCTTGTGCAAGAAAATTTTAGACGATGTCATATAACCATTGCATGGTGGAATGATAAGATTTTCATCATTTGTCAGAAGAACGTATGATGGAGTGTTATATGAATAATTAGCTTATCTTAAATATTCTATACAATTAAAGACATATGGATTTTTCCCATTATTGCTGTTGCTTCTCTTGTCATCATACCTTCTATAATATTATTTAGGTTTTGATTGATTCATTTGTGAGATTTATATCCCCCTTTTCCTTCAGAAACTCGGGGTGTCCTATGTACTTTTCACTTCCACAACAGTAATCTTATGGGATGATTTATTCTGAGTCATCCAGTGAGCTTTTATGGTGAAAAAGGAACTTAAAATCTAGAACCAGTACTATTAGAAAATACCAAATTCTTTATACAAGATATGATCCAGTGTTGGATAGATGTTAATGTAGACTACAGCAGAAAATGCTAAACTCAATTCACAGGGGTCTCCCATTTATGTTGCCTTCAGGTTCTAGATGAATGGTGGGGTTTATTCTATGTATTAAATGACAGTGGCAGAAAATGTTGAAAGTAAGCATTTCTTTTTGAATGCAAATACTCTCAAATACAAGTTTCTTATATATATATTTGATTAAAATAATGGTGACATGATGTTTGATTAAAATAATGGTGACATGATGTTTGATTAAAATAATGGTGCTTATTTATTTTAGCCATTATAGGACCGCCGAGAAAAATAAATGTAACCTCAGAAGCTAACACAATTCTTATAAGTTTCTTGCCTCCCTTTGAGAAAAGAAGTAATTTCTCTTCATTTGACTATACAATCTATTGGGAGAATTCAGAAAATAAAGCAGTAAGTACTTGTCTTTCCTTGATAAACTGATAAGAGTTGTTAGGAAATATTTGAATAAATCTGTTAATCTCTTATTTATGTTTATATCATTACCCATACTGTTGCAGGTCAAAGCAATTTATAATAACATTCTTAATAATTCATTTAGTAATAAAAACAAATACATTACATTAGGCGTCCCCAACCCCCAGGCTACAGACTACTAGGAACCAGGCCTCACAGCTGGAGATGAGTGAATTATGAATTAATTTTATCAGTTTAAATATGTGTGTGTGTGTGTGTGTGCCAATATTGTGCTGGACACTTGCACTGCCTACAGTTACTCTTTGAGGGAGAAGAGTAGTCTAGAAATACGAAAAATAAATAGGTGATAGATGGATGGATGGATGGATGGATGGATGGATGGATGGATGGATAACACATTTGTTATTTTTCAATGTTTAACTGGTTGACTTTAATAGTTTTAAATTGATTTTATATATCTTTTAATTTTTTATTAATGCCTACTACTGGTAGAAATGGTTGAAATATGGTTGTCTATATAAATGCTTTAGATAAATTTAATAAATAAAAGTGATGATAAGAATTAGGAGGCAGAGGCTGGGAGGTTTTACTTATTTATTCAGTTTCTGTGGCTGCTTACCTATATATGACTGATCACTCGATTTTTCATATTATTGGTCTCACATCCTTTGTAATTACAAACAACCTAGACATTACTAAAGCTTTTCCAACTATCTACAGAGTTTCTTCTTATCTAGATGGGATAATCCCAGTAGGTTGTATAACAAGATTTTTTTAAACTTGAAATTAGAGATCTGCTTTCATTCCTTGACAGAGGCTCACAAACATCCATGTCCAGAGGAAAATCTACCTCAAATTGAATACATCCATGTTGCTTTTAAAATATAAAAAGTTTGTCCCTGACACCGTTTTAGAACTTTTTTTCTTACTTCTCTGGACTATTAACCAAATCCAACCCTTCTTACTTTTCTGAGGTTGGATGTGATTGACATGATGCTACTACCTGCTGTGACATTTTATAGAAAGCCATAACCAATGTGGCATGGAAAGTTGAGAAAATAGAAGATATATTACAAAGGGCATAGATGGGATAGGCAGCCCTTTGAGCACTTTTGATTTTGGGAATAACAAACATATTATAAATCCTTAGGCTATTTATGATCAACTATTTACTAAGCAATGATCACTGCTTAGCATATAGTTGATCATAAATAGCCTAAGGATTTATAATATGTTTGTTATCCCCAAAATAAAAACATATCTTCTATTTTCTCTACCTTCCTTTATCCTAATTGCTTAGAATTTAAAAGTAGTTATTTCAGATATTCTGGAATATAGGTTTTTGGCAGTCACAATAAATTTTGGAGAGAGTTCTACAAAAATAATTGATTTGGGGGTGGGTAATCTTTTCAATCTGGGAGGTCCATAACATCTTTTTGTTTTGCCTGAGGGCTTCAGGAGGCATTGTACCTTTATTAGGAATATTAAAGCAAAATATTTCAGATCTATCTTTTAATTGGCAAAGGAGTATCTTAAATCTTGCAAACAGTGCTCCTTAAATTCACCCCTCCCCCATTCCAATTAAAAATATTGGATATAATTCCTCTACACATAATAAAAATGTTGGCTGTATCTACTGAGAGCTACCTGAAGGCCAAGAGTAGGATTCTGGGGAAATCCATGAGGGCTGGGGATTGTCTATCCCTAGATTCAACTCACAGTATTGCAGATAAATACCTACAATGAACCTACCATGAACTAAAACAGCTGTACTTCTGAAATTAATATGAAAGGGCTATAATTTGAATAACAGGAAATATATAATAATGTTTTAATTGTTATTATTATTATACAGCAAACCATGAATACTGTACACAAATTTAAGGATCTAAAAGAACGAACTACATATTGCTTTAGGATACAAGCAAAACTGCATGGACTCGAAGGAGAAAAAAGTGGTATTCATTGTGCAAAGACTACAATCACAGGTATGTATTACTATTTAATTAATGTATAATTATGTAGATGCAGAATTAAAGGAATAGATTGCACCCACTGGTTATTTTTTGTTTAAATCATCTCTCCTGCCATGGAAACATGACTGATACCAAATTCTCCTCAGCAACCAGGTCTTGGAAATACAAACCAGTCTAATATGATAATAAGTAAGAGATTTATTATAATTGGCCTGCCATTCAAAACAGTGGCCAGGATCACTATTGGTAGGAGTAACATAACCTGGCCTTAAGACAAGATCAGAAGAGGAAGTGAGGATTAGCCTCAAATATCCAGTCTTCTTTATTGAGTACATGTGTCCCATATCTCATCGCAACTTCTCTGCCTCCTTGTTGAGGTTTCCTTGCATCTCAGCCTTTAAATAATATCAGAGATCCTTCTCTGTATCAGCCCTACTCCTAGGGAATAGCATATATATATATATATATGTATGTATGTATGTATGTATGTATGTATGTATGTATGTATGTATATATATATATATATGTATGTATGTGTGTGTGCATATATATGTGTGTGTGTGTGTGTGTGTGTGTATATATATATATATATGTATATATATATATATGCATATATATGTGTGTGTGTG